TGTTTTTCGGCTCCCCCTTAAGAATTAAGGTCAAACCTTTTTTTTGCCTTTACTTAATCTACTCCTGTGACCCAAAAGAGAACTAATGTCTTCCTGTGACTCAAAGTCAGCACAGAGCGGGTACTGCCCACTATATGCTGACAGCACAGCTGCAGCTAGGAAAGATCCCGAAAATATTGCCGGGATCCACTCCGCTGCCTGATTGACAGATGGCTCTGCCTCTCTAGATCCAGAGCCAGCTGTGCCCGCCCCCTCCCCTGTCTGTCCCTCCAATGAGCGCTGGGGAAACAGAGAGGGGAGGGGTGACTGTAAGTCACTGCTCTCTGCAGGCAAAGTCGTGAGCTGAGCGATCAGTGGTTTGTGATCGCTCAGTTCTCAATCCATAGAGCCGACAAGTTACAGCTGCTTTTGTCCTCTTTTGGGTCAAAGGAGTAGATTTTACTAATGTCCTCCTGTGACCCAAAGTCATCATACAGAGGGCTACTGCCTGCTATATGCTGACAGTGCAGAGCCGTGCTGCAGCCGGGAAAGATCCTGACAATATTATTGGGATCCACCCTGCTGCCTGATTGACAGATAGCTCTGCCTTTCTAGAGCCAGCTGTGCCCGCCCCCTCCTCTGTCTGTCCCTCCAATGAGTGCTAGAGGAACAGAGAGTGGAGGGGGGGAATCCCTGCAGGGGGTGGAGACTGACAATGACTGCTCTGTGCAGGGAGAAGCCGTGAGCTGAGCGATCAGCAGTTCTTGGTCATTCAGTTCTCAATCTCTAGGGCCGGTATGTGACACCTATAATATCCCTCTCAATGTATCTAGTAACCACTGTCACAGGAACTGAATAAAAGGAAGTTCCAAAAATTCTAGTTGCCGGGTCAAGGGATAAAGGGGAAATCTTTCAATGCTGACCCTTTTTGTCATGACAATTATCTGAGAATTTTCCACATTGCTTCCTGTTTCCTGTGGCTATGGTTCAGGAAGGGAAGAGTGATCTCTCTAATGGGACACAGACAGCAAAAAAGTTTCTATCCAAAAATAAAGATATACATTAGGTTTGTTTGCGGTGTCCTGCTGCTCGGCGCCCTGGTTTCCTTGAAGCTGTACCTAAAAAAGGAAAGCAGAGGGCAAAAGACCAGCCACCGGTATTGCTTGTGGTCTCCCTGCAGCTGATCGTTTCCCCATTGCTGACTTACCATTGCTTGTTCTGCTCTGTGTCCCTGTGTGGAGGCAGCCATCTTGGTAGGGACAGGGGTTTGCTTCCTCATGTTAGAGCCCCCAGCAAGGAGAACAGTGAGCAGCACAGTAGTGACATCACCATCTCTGAGACCAGCAGTCAGAGGTAGCAGTGGCTTAGATCTCACTCAGCAGATATACAGCTATTAGGGTGTAGACAGGAGAGCCCAGGCACCCTCACATCCCAGGAAGTGCGCTGCAATCTTTCAGGAGGAATTCAGACTACTGCTTTGAGATAATCAACACTTGTAGATCTTCCTTGTAACAAAGCAAACCTTTACCTGAGTTCAGGTCCACTTTCATGCCGAAACTGCTGGTTCTGAATGAAGCCCAAATAAGGATCAGGAAATCTCTTCACCCTTTACACCAAATACTCCCAGAATACGGGGAAAGCACTAACCAGAAATGACTAAACCCAACACCCAGGTAAATGTAACAAGGTTTGCTAGTAAATCAAGGTCATTGTTACTTCTCTCTCCTTTATGATCAGCTGGAACGGCATTATGGGAAGAAATGCGACAAGCAACAAAAGCACGGGCTGAAATAAAGCTTCTCCGACCACTACCCTGACATTTCACTTTGTACTGTGTCCACACATTGGGATGTACAGTATGTCTTACCCATGGTACTAGGCCCTCATCTTACAGGAACCTGACCGGAGAGTAATACCTCTCATAGGTGCATAGGTGGTAGTCTCTTATCTGACATGCTGATCCGCTGGCTTGAATATTTTCTGGAACAGGGAGAGAACTGGGAGGTGTACAATCTTCTAATGTCTGGTGGGAAAACTGGGAGCAAGAAGACCGTTACATAGATTGCTTAGCCCTGAACGAGTGATTCCTTCCTTGGCTTTCAGCAATTCCATTGTCTCTCTGGTTTACTGGCACCCTGGACATCCACCGGGCCCTAGTCTTCTCCCTAGGTTGCCTTGTGTATGTTCTGGATTTCAAACCGAACCCGGTCTGATCCTGAGCTTCTCTGAACCCAGAAGAAAGTTCTTTCTGAGGAATTCCCCACCTGTAGCTTTGATGGCGTTGACCTTATATGGCCACATGGTTATAGTTGGTCAATGTTTGCTGGTTTCATGTGACCACATAATGAAGATTTGGGGTAGGAACTGATTAACAATGATACTGAGGTGATTACATTTTATTTCCACCCCATTTTCAATCATTTGTTTGCTGGAAATGAGCAAACAAAGCCAATGATTGGGAAGGTGGGTGGCCAGGATTAAGGCTGCTCTGTAATTCCTCTAAAGCAGGGGTGTCTGAACTGCGGCCCTCCAGCTGTGGTGGAACTACGAATCCCCTGAGGCTTTTCAAGATTCTCACAGCCACAAACATGACTCCTGGAGAGAGATGCTTCATGGGATTTGTAGTTTCACCACAGCTGGAGGGCCGGAGTTTGGACATCCCTCCTTTAAAGAGACCCTGACACCGCCCCCATGCCTAACAAGATAAGCTTACTGTGCACAGGTATTTAAAACAATGCACCAGGCTCCCTCTCTTTGTCCATTTCACCACCCGCCTGATATTTATAACCATCTCTGACACTCCAAGAGAGTGGGACTTTCTGTGGGCTGGAGAGATGCAGCTGCTGACCCTCCGGGGCCCTTATGGTCCTAGAAGCCTTGAAGAATCTACACTGACAGACCTTAAAGTTCATATGCAGCTCCCTAACCACTGCCAGGACCACGGGTGACACTGAGGCCTGGGAAGGGGGAGCTGCACCCCTCTGAAACACAGCGCCTTCATTACCACCAGAAGTCTTATACGTAGTTACATAATAGGTCGGTGGCTCAGTGGTTAGCACTCCTGCCTTGAACCAATGGGGTAGTTGGTTTGAATCTCAGCCAAGAAACTATCTGCATGGAGTTTGCATATTCTTCCTGTGCTTGGGTTGGTTTGCACCCACACTCCAAATACATTCTGGTAGGGTTATTGCGTCCGGTCTAAACTGGCCCTAGTATGTGTGCATAGATATGCACATGCGTTATCACATTCTATACGCCAGCCCTAATCTGGTGTAAATGGAGAGGGTTCAGGAAACCTACCTCATGAATCACTCGCCAAGACAATTCTATGAAAAAGGCTCTCGAGCATATCAGACATGGTGCCCAGAGAGCTGGAACATCACCGAGGGTTGGGTATGACTGACCGGATATCACACACACAATAATAGGTCTAGTTCCAACACAGTTGGAGAGGGAACCTGATTAAGAAAGGGAGCCTGACCCATTGTTATAACTTTACTTAGTATGCATAGCTGGTTAGGCATGTGACAGGGTCTCTTTATAGTGGAACTTAAAGGAGAACTATGGGGTTAATGCTTTTCCCCATAGTTCTCCTTAGTGTAACGGGAGGACACAAACTAGCGTCCTCCCGTCACCCTAGGCTCAGTATACTGCGAGCTGTAGCTTGCGGTATACTGAGACACCGCAGCTGAAGCGGATCCCGACAATTGTGCCGCGATCTGCCCAGCTGAGTGACTGAGAGCTGGCTCTGCCTATCTAAAGGCAGAGCCAGCTGTACCCACCCCCTCCGCCAGTCAGCACTGGCGGATCGGAGCGCGGAATCCAGCCCCTCCCTTTTCACAGCAGAGAGCCGTGACAGGATCGAGAGGTGAGCGAACGCCGGTATGTGTTCGCTCACCTCCCGATCTACTGAGCCGATCTGTGACAGTCTCATTGTCACATGTCGGCTAGAACTATGAGGTGAGTGAAAATCACTCACCTCAAGGTTCTCCTTTAAATAAAAATGAATAAAAGGGCGACCAGGCAGGCTTTGTATTGCAGAACAGGCACAGAGGTGTATTTCTAAAACGTTCGCAGAGTGAACAGCTCTATGAACTTAGATCCCAAGCACATTAGGGCCACTGCTCGGCTCCATCTAGTGGCCATATTGCAGAACAGGCACAGAGGTGACCTTTCAGCCTCAATACTTTCTAAGCCACTGACCCAGAACAAGTATATAGATCGGGTGTCAGAGGGAGGTCACATTATGTCCAGACTTGTGACTTAGTCCCCGTTCACACTACGCAATACGCAAACACACACTTTTTTGCCCATTGCTCGTCACCCATTGATTTGGTTGGGTGGCACAGGTGGAACGAGCGCGGCAAACCAGCTTACACAGCATTTTCAGCGTCCTGCATTTTTGTGTGCGTTTGATGCGCGTCCACGGACAGGAAAAATTTGCATTTTACTGGCCACATTTAGGGTGTCATTAACAAAAAGTGGCACCGCAAGCGCGATGCATGTTTTGAAGGTGTTGTATGAGCGCACATCAAATTGCTCAAGGCGAGCGGTCGAATCAAGGCAAGCAGTATTATTTAGAAGGACAGGTCAGAAATGGCAGCCTCATGTATTGCTCATATGACAGGTCTTCTTTGATTGAAGAGTTGACACTCTCCGGGTCCCTCAATATTGGTCGCAGATGCTCATAGGAGCAATTCCTTCTCCTGCAGTTACCGCAATAGCACCAGCGCCCCCTGCTGAACGCACACTATATATCACCGCAGAGCCAGCTCTAGTCCGCAGTAAATGGTGGCGCCCAGTGATGACCTCATCTCGCCCCGCCTCTATAATGTCAGACAAATTTACGTAATTTATTGGCCTTGAATTGACCCTTAAGACGCGTTCTTGGTACTTTCCACAAAAAACCGGAATAAATACAAAACGAAGCAATTATTTTTCTCTTTCTCGGGTAACTAGCGGAAGATAATAAAGCAAATTATCAGGAAAAACAAAATGCAAACGGAAGGATACGACCGAGCCCTAAACAAACATGGCCGCCCTGCGGCGGCTGACGTCACGGGTGTGCGACTCGTTCAGCTGTGCATATTGCCGGAGAGTGTTGACATTGATCAGTTGGGTAGCTGGACGGAGAAGGATCATGTGGGCAGCTGGGCACCTGATGGCGAGGACGAGGGTGAGTTGAGGAGCTTTATTCATAGTACTGGGGGGGGGGACAAGGCAGCTCAGCGATGGAGCCTCTGAAGGGCTCATTTCAGCCTGTAGACTGGATCCCTCTTGCTGGGCTGTGAATCTTTTCTGAAAACAAATCATTCTTAGCCGGGTCCACTGTGATGTTTCTTCAGCGCTGCATGTTATTGTATTGTCACATTGTGCTGCAATACGTCTCCCCTGGCATGCCTACCCCTAGCCTCCAACGTCTCCCCTGGCATGCCTACCCCCAGCCTCCGACGTCTCCCCTGGCATGCCTACCCCCAGCCTCCGACGTCTCCCCTGGCATGCCTACCCCCAGCCTCCGACGTCTCCCCTGGCATGCCTACCCCCAGCCTCCGACGTCTCCCCTGGCATGCCTACCCCCAGCCTCCGACGTCTCCCCTGGCATGCCTACCCCCAGCCTCCGACGTCTCCCCTGGCATGCCTACCCCCAGCCTCCGACGTCTCCCCTGGATGGCATGCCCCCAGCCCCGGACGTCCCCCCATGGCATGGACAGAGGTTCCGGTGACCATTTTTTTTGTTATTTTAGCACTTAACCCTTGGAGTGTGGGGGAGGGGAATGTTGTGGGTGGGGGGTAGCCCCACTGTAAGGGTTACATTTTATTCTGCCTGGAGTGCTTAAAAAAAAAAAGTAATGAACGGGTTAAAGTGTATCTAAAGCTATTTTTGGATGGATTATGGAAGCGATAGAACATCTGTCAGGTTCTTATTGCTGTTTGTGTCCCCGCACACTCTCTCTGTTCTGGTGATTATTGCCATTGGGACTGAGAGTGAAAGTCTAAAACTAAAAGTTGTCACCAGAGCGGGAATAGGTGGAATATTCTTCAAAGGGGGGATACCCGGGGATATCTGTCTGAGAGGAGATTTCATCTCGCTTCCTGTTGTGTCTGTGGGACAGGACGTGAGGATAATGATCTATAATAGGACACAGACAGGAAATAAAAACTGCCAGAGGATTTAACCCGTCTGCAGTGTAATTCTGGCTTTAGATATTTCCTCTCCATTGCATTGTGGAAATGTTTTTTTTTACCTAGTAGTCGCTCTGTCCTATGCGGCTCGGTGCTTATATGACAAAGCCTCTCCTGTGACTCTTGCAGACTTGCGTCCTGTGTAACATGACCAGACCTTTTGCTTCGAGGACAGAAGGGGAGCAGAGGATCACACAAGTGCTGAAGACCAAATTCCCCCGGGCTTCACAAGTTCGAGTTGTGGACATTTCAGGTAACAGGAAGGACGCACAATCCTCTGATCTCCTAATGAGTCCCATTGTCCTGGATTCCATGGAAATTGTACAATGAGGGAAGCCAATGTCATTGTGTGTAATCTAGAACAATGGAGGGGCCGGGGGGGACACAGAGCTGATCTGTTTACTTCATGGAGATCCCGAAACACAATTATATTGTCTGCAAAACATCCGTTATTTCCATCTGATTATCCAGCATTGTCCTGTGTCCGGGACCACGGTGCCCCTGTGCTTGCCCTGCATCTGATTATCCAGCATTGTCCTGTGTCCGGGACCACGGTGCCCCTGTGCTTGCCCTGCATCTGATTATCCAGCATTGTCCTTTGTCCGGGACCGCAGTGCCCCTGTGCTTGCCCTGCATCTGATTATCCAGCATTGTCCTGTGTCCGGGACCACGGTGCCCCTGTGCTTGCCCTGCATCTGATTTAAAGCACAACTCCAGCTTTACAGATTTATATATACTGACAGTAGTCCAGTGTGTGTGTGTGTGTGTGTGTGTTGTCTATAGATATATATTAGGTAGGGATGTCCCGATGCCACTTTTTCAGACCCAAGTACATCCCCTCATGTACTTGCCGATACCAATTACCGATACTTTTTCTTAAAGGGACAGGTGACTTTAAATGATCCATAGTACAACTACATGTTCTGTACTATGGATCATGGTTTAACCTATTCATGTTAGCAGTGGAGAATTGTAACTCTATTGCTGGAGTGTAGTGGAGGTGTGTGCTGTATATATGCACTACATATACATTACACACGTCCAGTACACTATAGCAATAGATTTACAGCCAGCCCCGTCCCAGCTTCCCTCACTCACAGTTTCACTCCGATCCCTGTGCCTCTTGTAGTCGGCGCTGGGCAGGATCGCTGCATCGCATCTCGGTGCTCAGCTTGTGGGGAGGCGCTCACAATTCTGCCCTGCTAACATGAATAGGTTAAGTCATGATCCATAGTACATAACATGTAGTTGTACTATGGATCATTTAACCTATTCATATTAGCACAGTAACTAATGCTGCAGTGTATTGGGGATGTGTACTGTACATGCACTACATATAGAATACACTGCAGCAATAGAGAAGTGCATTCTATATTCTGTAGTATATAGTACATGTACATATAGAGTGCCTGCAACAATACATTTACAATGATCCTCTGCTAACATGAATGGGTTAAATGATCCCTAGTACAGGGTTACATACAGATCATTTAATCCATTCATGTTATTATGTATTGTCTGCATTGTATTAGCAGTGCTACTGTAGTACATATAGAGTATATACTGCTAATACAGTGCAGGCAATATATACGGTAGTTGCATAATAGAACCCCCCCAAATCTGCCCTCACTCACTGTGCCGGAGAGAGCAGGGACGAGTCAGCGGCAGCGCTGGTCCAGTGGGAGGAGCTCCAGGTGGGGTCCTAATTTAGCTGGCTACGATTCCAATGCTGGTATCGGGACATCCCTAATATTAGGGATGCACCAATACCGGGCTTTTTTTTACAAATACTCGTACTGGTGAAAATGCTCCGATACTAAAGACTGATAGCGGCGCTTTAAATTTTTTTACTGAAGTGGCTGCCTGAGATCATGCGCTTTGCAGGGGACCTCCGCAGCCTTCCTGTGAACCACATGGTGCCTGCCACACATCTCCTCCTTCCTGGGGAGCCCCACTGCCTGGACCCCTGGTGACACCCCCCACAGCTCCCTGCACAGACCTCCTAAAATCCTCAGATGGAGACATCAGGTCAGCACCCCAGAGCATGAAGCTTCATGTTTTTCCGCATTGCTGTATAATGTGTTGCTGGGATTTGTAGTCCTCTATAGCCGTTGCCATTCGGCATTGCTGTATAATGTATTGTTGGGATTTGTAGTCCCTCTACAGCTTGGGTTCAGTGGCAGAACTACCAGGGTTGCAGCTGGGACTGGGCCCTCGCGCGTCACACCTCTCCTAAAATCATTAGTCTGTATTGTTTTTTAGAACAACGGCTAGAGATGTCAAATTTCCGGAAATTTTAAAGCCATAAGAAAAAAAATAATAATTTCCAAGGAACAAATGGAAGTTTTTGGAGTGGAGTAGTTTAATAAATTGAAAGTAATTTTGTTCCACTGGGACCGTGAGATGCTGTGTATATAAAAGTATTATACTTGCCATAAAAGTTCAGCTTAATCCGGAAATAAATGGAACTTTTTTTCTTTTTAGAATTGTATTTTATATTCGCACATTGCAGCTTTGCTCTCAGCAGGATTGGCGCTGCGGAAATGATTCCAAACTCTTGATGTTGGTCTCACCATTTTACTGAGAGGAGGAAAAAACCAATTTACTGAGCAGACTATTGGTAGACATGATACTGGGATGGGGGAGAACATTATTAGGAATCATTTAAAGGTTCTAAAGGTAAAGTAATTGGTCAGACAAATGTACTCTCTTACCTGAGAGGACAGAAACTCATCTACTATCATACCAACAATCACCCAACTGTAGGAAATACAAGATGGAGCCCCAAAGCTAACTAAACTGGAGCCTTTCCTCTGCAGCGCCCCTAGTGGCAGAAATGCATATTTCTTTTTGAGTTGGAGAAGTTCAGTGTTACTTGAATTGTATTCCGGGATTTGCTTGTCTTCAGCGGAGAGAATGTGCAATCATTTGACACATTTACATAAAGTCTCAAATCTTTCATTAAGGTCGTCATGTTATATAGTTTGAATACCATGTCAAAGATATATTATTTATCATGGTCAGGGATTGAAAAATGTGATGGTGTCTCACCAGTCAACATAAATTGCAAGGCTACAGGCCAGTCATGCTGACTGGTGACATTTTTGACTAACATTTTTTAGGGACAGATAGAACTTTCTTTTGGAGGTATATAATCACCGGGGGAAGGGGGGTATATTAAAGTTTCACTACGTTATGTTCTAAAACATTTATTCTTACCCATATTTTTAGTAAAACATAAAAGTCAGGGTCACGTCGGGTAAATAGACACCAAACATGTCAAGCCTTAAAATTGCGTACACCTGCAAAATCCCAAAAATGCCCATAGGCGACGATTAAAGCGCTTTTACTGCTCGTCAGTTTAGTGTTATCAGTGATTAATGGTTCTAAAATGATTGCTCTCGCTCCAATGTTTGCGGCGATATGTAACATGTGCGGCACAATAGGCGCAATCGTAGTTTTCGCACGTAGGCGCACCTGACGCATATCTGCGTGTTTATGTATTTTCTTTTTACATTTTTTTACAGACAACTTTATTGCTATTACATGGGGGGGGGGGGGGGGGGGCTAAGAAGCCCCCTATGTGATAGCCAATTTACATGACTGGTCCTCTTTATGGAGACATCAGGGGACTCCCAAGACCCCTTATGTCACCTAGGGACCCCCAGAGAAGCTGATGAAGCAGATATCTGCTTCATCAGCTTCTCTAGCTGGAGAGTGACACTGAATGCAGGAAGTGATGTAATATACATCACTTCCTGCAATCGGGGACTGAGAGGAGATCAAAGGGAGTTCGTATATTGAACTCCCTTTGATCTCCTGTCACAGAGCCGTGCCGGTCCTGGCCGCATCGGGCACAGCGGATCTCGGGAACGGCAGTGACAGCTGTTAATACAAGCGATCACTTGAATGTAAAGCTGCTCGTCGGGCTCTACCGTCCTCTCGTAGCGGATGAGTGGATTTTTCAGGCCCTGATCATTGTAAAAGAACATATTCCACACACTTCTTTTTTTTTTTCCCCAGTCCTTCTCATCTCTACGCATGACAATAAAAAAAAAAAAAGTATTGATTAATTGGTATTGGCGAGTACATGAGGAAAAAAGTATCCGTACTCTGTTTGTAAACAATGGTATCAGTGCGTCCCTAATAATTAGGTAAGCAGTGTGGCAGGATACCAACTGGACTCATCCAATCAGGGAACAGCTGGTATTCATTGAGAAAAAATGCTAAGCATCCTCTAAATGAGCATCTTGCTGAGTGAGTGACTGCGTTTTAATAATGGAGGTCGCTCAGCATTCTAATACACTGTGACAGCTGCGGCTAGAACAGGATTTCCCCGGACTACTATGAGAGGTCGGACAATCCCTAATTTACAACTTTTACTGTAAATCACAAACAACATTGAAATAATATTTGTATGTTACAGGAGGCTGCGGATCAATGTATGAAATCCATGTGGAATCTGAAGACTTCAAAGAGAAACGCACAGTACTGCAACACCAGATGATTAATGAAGTGAGTGTTGGCTTTTATGTGTGCAATCTATAATTCTGGGATCGCCCCACCAAACTCCGGCGGTGGGTTGGTTCCCCCCGCTGGCTTCTATCTCTTTGGAGATCCAGGGATGATCTTTTACGGTCAGGTGACACTATGGAGTCTTGGGTCTCATGAATGAATAGCTATTTCACAAGGCTCGGGGGTTCCGAGCAATCACTGTAGCACTGTAACAATAATATGGGCTCATATTATTACAATTTCATTGTAAATTTAAATGTGTGTTGTAATCTAGTCGCCGCTCCAAGCTCACTCCCGGGATGGATGGACTACATGACTACATTCTAATGTTTATTTTACTAATTCGTAGGGATATACTGATATTAGTATCCGAGTACCGAGTATTTGGGCGAGTCATTACACGCTGTTCGGCTTCCTGATTGGCCAGGGAGCATGTAGCTGGCTTCCCAGCCAATCAGGAAGTTCGGGGGGTGGGTAATGACTTGTTTCCCGGCCAATCAGGAAGCTGGGCACCATGTAATGACTCGCTGCCCGGCCTCCTGATCGGCCAGATGGTCACCTGGTGAAGAAGCAGCATGGAGATGGCTTCCCGGCTAATCAGGAAGCGGGGCTGCGAGTCATTACAAGCCGTTCAGTTACCTTAATGGCACTTTCAGTATTGGCGAGTACCGATTTAAAAAAAATTATTGGTACTCTGGACCGAAAAATTGGTATCGGTGCATCCCTACTATTTGTATTGTGATTGTCGTCCATCACAAGAGCGAGCTTGGAGCGGTGGCTACTTTACAACACACACAGGGACCATGAGGAACAAAAGTAGCCACCCTCCAGAAGGAAGGACAGTGTCAGCACCAATTCAGAGATGATTTGAGGATCTACAGCCGGGTGATAAACAAATAAGATACATTTATGTTATTAGATAAGGAACTTGAATGCATTTTGAAGGTTTAACTTCTGAATTGAGTGTCACTTTAAGAGACAAAACAAATGCTATTACTGGTAACTTTACCAGGATGAATGTAATAACAGGAAAATACCGAGTTATGGCCACTAGATGGTGCTAAGCAGCAGAGGAAAGAAGTATTCATTTCTTATGGTCCTCCACTCCATCTAGTGGCCATAATGCAGTATTTTCCTGATATTGCATTCATCCTGGAACTGCAGCGGATACAAGGTGAGGGATGGGGGAGGAGGGTGTTGTGAGTTAGTATGCACTTTAATTAGGGGGGAGCAGTAGCTTCTCTACTTCTCACAGCTCTGAGCTGCAGGGTGAAGTCAATCCTTCAGAAGTGGGAGATAATATAATATAATATATGATGGCAGATAAAGCATGTGTTCCTTGCAGTGTAGCGTTGTTTCTTTGTATGCAATTGGCTCAATGTATCAAAGCTTTAAAACAAGAATAAGGATCTTTATTTTTTTAGCCATGTGACTAATTTTCAGATATTATTGAGTTTGGATAACTGTCACTTTTTTGAAATAAAGATCCCATTAACTATTGGATAATCGAATTTCTACTACCGGTCTATGGGCAGATTTAGAGTTTTTCGACCAGTTCACAAGAATTGGATGAAATACTAACAGTGGGCAACCCTGCCAGCTCGACAAACATCTATTACTTGACTTTTATGGAACTAGCCGGGCAATTTATGGCTAAATGGTGACTTATGGCTAAAAGCAGCTGCAGTCACTGTTCCTGTATTCCGCGAGCAGCCGGTGCCAGCTGTTAGATGTTATTTCATTGGGCCTTGTGTGACTTTGAGAGCTGATGGATGGGTAGATACTGCCCTGTTGGCACTTCCTCTTGTGCATGGGGTGGGCATCTCCAGCCCTCCAGCAGTCCCATGAGACATTGCAAGACTGAGCGTTACAGGCATGGGATGTTGGGGTTTGTAGTTAGATGACTACTCCTGCTCTTGGGTGACAATGCAGGTACATCATGAAGAATGGGCACTGGGAAGATGCTGTGTGTAGGGGCCGACAGTGCTGCTGTGATCTGAGCAGCAGCCAGCAAGTTTGGTCCGCTGTCAATCATTCAACACCAACCAAGAAAAGATAAGGGGATGAACCCCCAAATGTAGTGTACCTCACACGTGGTCAATGTTGTCTGCATCAGGGGAAGCAGGCGATGCCTCGCACAGACCTTACTGCACATCACTGGCCTGTATTGATTTACACCTCAATGATGAATTGTTGTATTATGTCTGTAAATAAAGTTTGATGCCCATGAAATCAGTCTTTCCTATTTCTAGGCCCTACAAGAAGAGATTAAATCCATGCACGGCCTGAGAATCTTCACATCTGTTCCCAAACAATGAAACGTTTCCCTCCAAGTGCGAGACACTTTATATGGTATTTGCAGAAGAATGTCACTGCGTATAACTCCAGTTATCGAAGGAGCAAGACTGCCAATTGGACTCTGTGACCACAGATGTTCCAGAACAGGGGTAGGCGAACCTTAGCCCCCTGCAGCTGTGGTGAAACTACAAATCCCAGGAGGCATTGCAAGACTCTCACAGCTAGAGGCAAATGCACAATGGAACTTGTAGTTTCACCACAGCTGGAGGGCTGAAGTTTGGTGCCCCCTGTTTTAGAAGTATATTTATTAAGCTGCAGGTATGCACATCACACTTTTTACTACTTAGTGTAAGAAATGTTGTAATAAATTCACTATAACTTTGCTTGGTGTGTCGTCTTTTATTTTACTTTCTGGCAGCATGGTGACAGTTGTGGTCACATGACACTAGTTTCAGGGTAAAGTATTGGAACGGAGAAGTGTGACATTTCGTTGTTGCCCCTCTACACATCCATACTTTCCTGGACAGGGGCGGGTCTCCAGTGTTTGTTAACATCCAGGGCCGCTAATCTTACTTTCCTGGCCATACATGTGCATTACATCCCCTTCTATAGGACCATCTGCCTTCATCTCTGGCCTCAGGACACAGCCCAATATAAGTCTATAGAGCTGTAATGTGCAGGGGTGTCCATAAGAATGAACCTTGCAGCCCTGGATGTAAAAGAAACAAAAAACTGCAGCCATTGGATCCAGGTAAGTATGGAGGGGGGGGGGAGAGTTACTTTAGGCAAACTGGATAAGGGTACAATGTCCTAAGGCAAACTTATCCTTTAAAAGTACCCGTGTCACTTAAAGTAGACCTCTTGGGAAAAACATTCTGCTGTCAGAAAAGTCGTGTTCAGGGATAGTACCAGTTAACCCTTTTGCTGCCAGCTATGTATGGCATATGACACTGGCAGCAGGCCCCTTTTAAACAGACTATTCTGTAAAGCCAACTGTCGGCTCTACACTGGAAGTGATTCTGTTGGCTGAGCTGCCATTAATCGCTTTTAGCGGCTGGTGAAAAGATGTCGCCGCCGCGACATGCATATCTGGTCTAGACATGGTGTCACAGCCCTTAAAGCTGAACTGGGGGCAAGGCGCTGATATACAGGAGCATAGAAGGGGTTTATACCAAATCATATTCCAGTACTTCCACTAATTGCAGTTAAAAGCACATTTCAATATTTCCATAGTGAGCACATTGATTGGCATTTTTATACCCACGTTAAAGTAAACCTGTCCCAAGAGAATTGGAACTGACTGCTGTCCCTACTTCAGATGTTTCAGACCTGGGCCATGCACAGGAGGAGAGGGGGAAATTCCACACACTTGTTCTGGGTTACTGACTACAAATGACTGAAATCTAGAATGAGAATTCGGCACTGGCAGCCACCATGTTTCTGTTAAGAGAAGTCACATTTCAGAATCATGTAACACAGCCAAGAAATAATTCAAATTCTTGTGTGTCATAGCAATCAGAATGCGCTATTGTGCAGGTACATCAGAACAAGACAGAGTCTCAATGGTTTCTATGATTACTGAACTCATGAGTTAGCACTTTGTCACTTCAAAAGTCACAGAGCTGGATGTGCATTAAAAGGAGCCTGCTAAGACCTTACAGGTCAGTGCCAAAAGCAAAGCCCTTTAAAGTGCAGAATACCCAATCAGAGCGGGTAGCTCATTGGCTGCCGGCTCTGATCACACTGACATTTTCCAGCCAGCTCCTTTGATCAGCTAAGTGGCGTAACGGAAGTGGAGTAATGGATGTGGAGGGGGGAGCCTGATAGAAATGGAGTCTTCATAAAACAAGCACTGGCTGAAAGATTTGCACAGCCTGACCCACATCCCGAGAAATTTCCTTTTGACAAATTTAAGGCAGAGACTATCATGGGATTACAGGAAGACCTGGGCTCCAACACCAAATTGTCCTTGTGTAAGAGCAAAAGAGGGTTCCCTGCTGGGTAAAAAGGCACCAGTTCAGATGCTCACATACCAGAGGGGATGACCACAAGAGACAAAACCTTGTGGGTCAGAATAGGGAAAGGGATATCTCTGATAGGTTCAAACATTGGCTTCTGCCGTGACACAAGAACCAGATTCAGAGGGACTCCCTGCACAAAAGGTGATCAGTGAGTGGGAAGCCAAAAAGGTCTCTGAAACATGGAAGGGTCAGAGATCTTGCCCTTAATAGTGCCAAGCATCAAACATTGGTCTAGAATTAACAACAACTGTAGAAAAAAAAAAACACCCCACGGAGAAACTCCTGGAGCAAAAGCCCTTATACTACCACCAAGCAAAGTACACCTTTCACAACCAAAGATAGGCTTTGTGGGAAACGGACTTCCTAGACTTGAGCATCAAAGAAATCACAGACTCAAGAGATGCCCCATCCCTTAAAGCAGGATGGTAAATTGGTCCTTGGGACATAGATCCGAGAGATCTGGCATAACCCAAAACGCATCAGAGAGGTCTTACCAAGTCAATGTACCACATCCACCTGGGCCAGTACAGAGCAATGAAGATCACTGGATTGCCCTCCATCTCAATCCTGCAGAGTAGACAAGGAAGAAGGTTCAGGGGACAGAAGACATAAATCAGGGTGTACGGATCCCAGAGCCACTAGAGCATCCACTGCTTCCGCCAGCAGATCTCTGGACACATCTATTTGTGTGAAATAAGCACTATGAAATCTCACTTCTAGTATCCCACATTGGGAACTTTCGCCTTTGGGATGTTTTAAATGTTCTGGTAAGGCTGCTCCCACACAGACAAGGGACTCTTTAAGAGTCTTTTTTAAATTCAACATTCTAAGGCTAAAGGCAAATCAAATATAGAAAGTGCAGGGGCTGGGGGTATCCTGAACAGCAGGAATGTCCAAGTGTCTGGAATCAAATCTGTTGCAGCTGCAGAATGGGTAAGCAGTGTACAGGCTCAGGGAAAGAGGCAAGTACTCATGGTAGAAGGTGAAGCTTCACAACCAGAGGGGCACTGTAGGTGGGCAGCAGGATTGGAATGATCAAGTTCCATATGGAGATACTTCCTCTAATGCTGTATATAAATAATGTCAGTACTCCATCCCAGAAAGTCTTAACACTTTTCGCAGGAAATGATGGCACCCATCGACCAACATGAAGGCGCTCCAATGCCCAGCCCAAATGGCCCACTCACTAGGTGAGTTTTCAGACATAAGGCCAGTGCAGAGGCAATGGGCCTGGAAAGCACCGCTAACACCCAGTCCAGCAGGGTCCAGATGCAGTATGATCCAAAAGCCAGATGGAGGACAACCATGCTGGATAGCTGCAAGTTGATTGGGAAAACACCAACAACCGCGTAGGGAAGTCTTGAAAGACAAAAAACCCCCACAGGTTAGTCTTTAAAAGCATTGGAGCTGTAAAAAAGTGCATCCTCCTAGGAAAAACTAACTGGTAGTAGGAGCCGCTGCTTAGGTCAAACCTTTGGGGCTGCTTCTGGATGTCACAAAAGGTTTAGGACACGGTGCCCCTCAAAAGATGGGAAAGACTATAGGATTGTTGTACTCCCTGAAAAATCCTTTTCTTGGAGTCCTTCAGGGGACACCTTTCTGTGTTTATGATCATGCTATTGGTATTACTTTGCTAAATTCCAGACCTGCAGTATTTTTCTGGTCTGGAACGGACTGCGCTGGTGTGAAGAGGCCAGAAATAGCACAGGGATACATTAGGATGAATTTTGGGTCCGGAAACAATCTGGTCTGGAGATGATCTGGATGTGATGTGAATGGACCCCAAGACATCCTGTGTTCCTCAATAGAGGAGAAAGTAAAATATTCAGCAGAATGGCTCCGTATACAGAGTGCATAGAGAAGTCGTCATTTCTGATCGTGTGTACAAATTTGAGGAAGGCCCAGCCCTTTGAGTGTTCGTTATGAAAGAGTATGGTGCGTTTAGACCATCCAGTGGATCACATATAGCAGCAGGTTGACTATTGCTATTCCAAGTATCAATACCCGCATAAGAGCTGCTGTGCGCTCTCCATTGCTCCCCCTCTCATGCCACGGCAGTCTAGTAATTAGGACTATGAAAACTCTAGAAAAAAATCGCCCATTTCCTTTCATAACTTCCTTTCTCGATTGGCTGAGAGAAAAAAAAAAAAAAATGAGATAATTCCAGCCAATAAGGAAAGGATGGATGTCACTGTATGCAGGCATTGGATAGATCACCAGCACTCCAAGTTCAAAGTGTGAATTTTCATTCCTCTTTATCGAACGTGCGTCAAAGCTTTGATGACACGTGACGCACGTTCAATGAAGAGGAACGAAAAGTTGAACTTTGAGAGTGCTGGTAATCTTTTATCCGATACATCTGAGTTACACGGCACTATCCGTGTTACCGCTGTGAGCACCATGACTGTGGAAGCTTAGAACGCTGTATGGAGTGCAGATGATCTACTACGACACTGAACAGACAGGCAAGGATATGGTACAAGTTTCCATAAGCAGTCCATCTATTTTTGTGTGTGCCGAAAATAGCTGTAGACCCAATTTGAGTTGCGACGGGTCGCTATAAACGTCAGTACATTACTGCAGGTTAAAAAAATATTTTTTGTTTGATGGAGACCTATGCCTCAAATCACAGATATAAACTTCTCACTTCTTATTGGTTAGATTTTTTTATTTCTATCTTCATAAAACAGCACGCATTTCTTGGTTTCTGCAGCCCAGTCGCTTCCTCTTTCTGGCAATGGTAATAACTTTAAAAAAATAGATATTCTGCCTTGTTGAGATAAGGGATTAAACTTGCTGAAAATGACTAAAAACCTTATAAAAAAAAAAGTCCTTCTAGAACAATTAAAAATGATAGAAATAAAAAGACTAATGTGGCAGAGCATTACACAACAAGAACAACGCCCACTCTAGAATAAAAGGCTGCCGCTTCTTACCATTAGTAAGCACACGTACAGCAGTCCTACCGAGTGGTACGTCATACTTCAATACATGCCACCATTGGCTCGTGTGCAAAACACATTCAGCTGTTCCATACTAAAGTTGATAAGGCAATACAGGATCCTTTTAAAGACAGTAACATATTACAACTTCAAGGATAGATTTAAAAAATAAAACAAAAAAAAAAACCACATTGATATACATAAACCCTTCCAAAAAAAAAAATGCTGATAGCATAGCAACAGTGTAAAATAAAAAGCAACGTAAGAAGCGATAGCAAGTGGTATACAAGGCCAAGTCCATAGGTTGTTTACTGCAGCAAATGACCTTAAGAAATGAAATGGAACATTTTTTTTTTCTTCTCCCCCTACCTGAAAATGAGCAAACATGAGCGAGACTGGCGGGCCTAGGTTTAGTGGAGTGTTCCTTGTAAAGCATTTCTATAAAAAGTTCATACAAAAATAAGGTAAGGCAATCTCTATGTAAAAGGGAAGACTTCCAGTGGAGCGCTCCTCCCAGTTCAGTGGTAAGTGGGCATCCATTCAGGTTATCGAATGGCTTCAGGTGCAGTTGGTGCGAGAGCTGGGAGAGGAGACGTTCCCTCACAGGAAAAGGCACGGCCGTATCCTCTATCTGTCTTTCGATCCCAGCTTTTCAATCAATTCCTGAAGGGGAGCCAGCTCTCGGCGATCAATCAGGTTAAATTCCTTCAAGAGAAAAAAATTATTACAAAACCGAAATGCCCAACAATGCATTCATATATTCTCGCATGAAGCCTGCAAAGAGAAAAGATGCATTTGCTAAACTTATTAGCTGCCTGGCGGTCATGAAGTACGTTCACAGTGATGTAATAAGTATGCAGATCTGCAGCTCCGACTGTACTGGCTGCGTTGCTTTTTATAGGGGAGAGATCAAAGTATTGATGGCAGAGCCAAGCAAATAGCATTTTCAGAAAGTCAGCAGCCTCCATATTTCTTTCTGTTAAGCAGAGCTGTTGGTAGAGCAATATGAAATATTCATTAAAAAGGAGAACTATGAGGTGAGTGCAAATCACTCCTCATAGTTCGAGCCGACCTGTGACAATGAGACTGTCACACGTCAGCTCAATAGATCGGGAAGTGAGCGAACACATACCATCGCTCGCTCACTTCTCCATCATCTCCCTGCACAGAGCAGTGACTGTCAGTCACCACTCCCTGCAGGGATCCCCCCCCCCTCCGATCCTCCAGCACTGAGTGGAGGAACGGATGTGGAGGGGGCGGGTACAGCAGGCTCTGCCTCTACATAGGCAGAGCCAGCTGTCAGTCACGCAGCTGGGTGGATCATGACAGCATTGTCGGGATCCGTTCCGGTTGCTGCGGTCTCCGTATACCGTGAGCTGTAGCTCCCTATATACTGAGCTTTGGGTCACAGGAGGAGGCTTGTATATGTCCTCCCATGACCCCTAAAGAGAACTATGGGGGAAAAAACACCCTATACTTCGCTTTTAAAGACTACTAGATCAGGTCTGGTCTCATTATTTCTGTCTGATGTGAAATCCCATTTAAGTATCTCTATGACAAAGGTAAGCTACCAGCAAAGTTCTGAAATGCCGCCCAGTCCAAGTGCGACTATCTAAACACTCAAATCAGAACCCCACCTCTTCTCATTTGTCACAATGCAAGCAGAACATATAACCATGGTGGAAGCGGGAAGAAGTTCCATTGAACTTGGTCTTCCTACAAATTTTATTCATACAGCTGCCTCAGAAGATGCACCATGACAAAGTAAACTGGTGAGTGGTTTAAAATGTACTAAATGGGCAGCAGGAGTGTAAATTGGGGATCACCACCATGCCTTTCCTTGTCTCACTAATAGTCCATAATCACAGAGATGGACCAATAAATCAGGAGCAGGAAGGGGAGGGAGCAGAGTTGCAGTATGGCAAGTGATGTTCCCGGGTTTCATAAAGACCTGTAAAAGGTATTAAAAACCCCCACAGGTTAGTCTTTAAAAGCATTGGAGCTGTAAAAAAGTGCATCCTCCTAGGAAAAACTAACTGGTAGTAGGAGCCGCTGCTTAGGTCAAACCTTTGGGGCTGCTTCTGGATGTCACAAAAGGTTTAGGACACGGTGCCCCTCAAAAGATGGGAAAGACTATAGGATTGTTGTACTCCCTGAAAAATCCTTTTCTTGGAGTCCTTCAGGGGACACCTTTCTGTGTTTATGATCATGCTATTGGTATTACTTTGCTAAATTCCAGACCTGCAGTATTTTTCTGGTCTGGAACGGACTGCGCTGGTGTGAAGAGGCCAGAAATAGCACAGGGATACATTAGGATGAATTTTGGGTCCGGAAACAATCTGGTCTGGAGATGATCTGGATGTGATGTGAATGGACCCCAAGACATCCTGTGTTCCTCAATAGAGGAGAAAGTAAAATATTCAGCAGAATGGCTCCGTATACAGAGTGCATAGAGAAGTCGTCATTTCTGATCGTGTGTACAAATTTGAGGAAGGCCCAGCCCTTTGAGTGTTCGTTATGAAAGAGTATGGTGCGTTTAGACCATCCAGTGGATCACATATAGCAGCAGGTTGACTATTGCTATTCCAAGTATCAATACCCGCATAAGAGCTGCTGTGCGCTCTCCATTGCTCCCCCTCTCATGCCACGGCAGTCTAGTAATTAGGACTATGAAAACTCTAGAAAAAAATCGCCCATTTCCTTTCATAACTTCCTTTCTCGATTGGCTGAGAGAAAAAAAAAAAAAAATGAGATAATTCCAGCCAATAAGGAAAGGATGGATGTCACTGTATGCAGGCATTGGATAGATCACCAGCACTCCAAGTTCAAAGTGTGAATTTTCATTCCTCTTTATCGAACGTGCGTCAAAGCTTTGATGACACGTGACGCACGTTCAATGAAGAGGAACGAAAAGTTGAACTTTGAGAGTGCTGGTAATCTTTTATCCGATACATCTGAGTTACACGGCACTATCCGTGTTACCGCTGTGAGCACCATGACTGTGGAAGCTTAGAACGCTGTATGGAGTGCAGATGATCTACTACGACACTGAACAGACAGGCAAGGATATGGTACAAGTTTCCATAAGCAGTCCATCTATTTTTGTGTGTGCCGAAAATAGCTGTAGACCCAATTTGAGTTGCGACGGGTCGCTATAAACGTCAGTACATTACTGCAGGTTAAAAAAATATTTTTTGTTTGATGGAGACCTATGCCTCAAATCACAGATATAAACTTCTCACTTCTTATTGGTTAGATTTTTTTATTTCTATCTTCATAAAACAGCACGCATTTCTTGGTTTCTGCAGCCCAGTCGCTTCCTCTTTCTGGCAATGGTAATAACTTTAAAAAAATAGATATTCTGCCTTGTTGAGATAAGGGATTAAACTTGCTGAAAATGACTAAAAACCTTATAAAAAAAAAAGTCCTTCTAGAACAATTAAAAATGATAGAAATAAAAAGACTAATGTGGCAGAGCATTACACACCAAGAACAACGCCCACTCTAGAATAAAAGGCTGCCGCTTCTTACCATTAGTAAGCACACGTACAGCAGTCCTACCGAGTGGTACGTCATACTTCAATACATGCCACCATTGGCTCGTGTGCAAAACACATTCAGCTGTTCCATACTAAAGTTGATAAGGCAATACAGGATCCTTTTAAAGACAGTAACATATTACAACTTCAAGGATAGATTTAAAAAAAAAAACAAAAAAAAAAACCACATTGATATACATAAACCCTTCCAAAAAAAAAAATGCTGATAGCATAGCAACAGTGTAAAATAAAAAGCAACGTAAGAAGCGATAGCAAGTGGTATACAAGGCCAAGTCCATAGGTTGTTTACTGCAGCAAATGACCTTAAGAAATGAAATGGAACATTTTTTTTTTCTTCTCCCCCTACCTGAAAATGAGCAAACATGAGCGAGACTGGCGGGCCTAGGTTTAGTGGAGTGTTCCTTGTAAAGCATTTCTATAAAAAGTTCATACAAAAATAAGGTAAGGCAATCTCTATGTAAAAGGGAAGACTTCCAGTGGAGCGCTCCTCCCAGTTCAGTGGTAAGTGGGCATCCATTCAGGTTATCGAATGGCTTCAGGTGCAGTTGGTGCGAGAGCTGGGAGAGGAGACGTTCCCTCACAGGAAAAGGCACGGCCGTATCCTCTATCTGTCTTTCGATCCCAGCTTTTCAATCAATTCCTGAAGGGGAGCCAGCTCTCGGCGATCAATCAGGTTAAATTCCTTCAAGAGAAAAAAATTATTACAAAACCGAAATGCCCAACAATGCATTCATATATTCTCGCATGAAGCCTGCAAAGAGAAAAGATGCATTTGCTAAACTTATTAGCTGCCTGGCGGTCATGAAGTACGTTCACAGTGATGTAATAAGTATGCAGATCTGCAGCTCCGACTGTACTGGCTGCGTTGCTTTTTATAGGGGAGAGATCAAAGTATTGATGGCAGAGCCAAGCAAATAGCATTTTCAGAAAGTCAGCAGCCTCCATATTTCTTTCTGTTAAGCAGAGCTGTTGGTAGAGCAATATGAAATATTCATTAAAAAGGAGAACTATGAGGTGAGTGCAAATCACTCCTCATAGTTCGAGCCGACCTGTGACAATGAGACTGTCACACGTCAGCTCAATAGATCGGGAAGTGAGCGAACACATACCATCGCTCGCTCACTTCTCCATCATCTCCCTGCACAGAGCAGTGACTGTCAGTCACCACTCCCTGCAGGGATCCCCCCCCCCTCCGATCCTCCAGCACTGAGTGGAGGAACGGATGTGGAGGGGGCGGGTACAGCAGGCTCTGCCTCTACATAGGCAGAGCCAGCTGTCAGTCACGCAGCTGGGTGGATCATGACAGCATTGTCGGGATCCGTTCCGGTTGCTGCGGTCTCCGTATACCGTGAGCTGTAGCTCCCTATATACTGAGCTTTGGGTCACAGGAGGAGGCTTGTATATGTCCTCCCATGACCCCTAAAGAGAACTATGGGGGAAAAAACACCCTATACTTCGCTTTTAAAGACTACTAGATCAGGTCTGGTCTCATTATTTCTGTCTGATGTGAAATCCCATTTAAGTATCTCTATGACAAAGGTAAGCTACCAGCAAAGTTCTGAAATGCCGCCCAGTCCAAGTGCGACTATCTAAACACTCAAATCAGAACCCCACCTCTTCTCATTTGTCACAATGCAAGCAGAACATATAACCATGGTGGAAGCGGGAAGAAGTTCCATTGAACTTGGTCTTCCTACAAATTTTATTCATACAGCTGCCTCAGAAGATGCACCATGACAAAGTAAACTGGTGAGTGGTTTAAAATGTACTAAATGGGCAGCAGGAGTGTAAATTGGGGATCACCACCATGCCTTTCCTTGTCTCACTAATAGTCCATAATCACAGAGATGGACCAATAAATCAGGAGCAGGAAGGGGAGGGAGCAGAGTTGCAGTATGGCAAGTGATGTTCCCGGGTTTCATAAAGACCTGTAAAAGGTATT